AAAAGACTTGCGAAGTCCAACCTTCCCAAATTACTAACAGGTTAGCAACATAAGGAGGATTTCCCCCCTCCCCCCGCCACATTTCCCACTTTCATCTAGTTCTCTTGCCACCATGCTATAATACCTTTCAAATAATGAAGTACGAATTATCCTATTACAGTTTACATTTTTCTGCATGCCAAATTTTGGGTTTCATAGAAAAATCAAATTAAGAAAAATAAATCTCCCATCTCCTACTCAAAAAAAACAAAAAAAAAAAACAGAAGTAGATAAGGCAAAGTTGGCAGTGGAAAGTCTTTCAAAGTCTTTGAAAAAAAATTTAATTATAATAGTTAATATTTTTAACACTTACCTTATGCCAGGAGGTACATTATTCACTTTTAAAACGCATCATTTCATTTAAACATTGCAACAGCCCTATGAGGTAGACATTAATAAATTAATGTCTATTTTACAGGCAAAGAAGCTGAAGCAGGTATAATTTACAAATTGCCCATGATCACCCAGTTGGTAAATAAAAGAGTTGCGGGTTGGATCCATGCAGAAGCCACGCCCTTAACCACTAAGCTACCAAGACAAAACTCTGTAGAAGAGAGATCATATCCATTAACTGACTCTGGACTGCACAGAATGCACTGTATCCACGTTTTCATCTCCATCACCTAGCATAGTGTCTGGTACTTTATAAGCCTACTTTATGTTGCTAGAATAAATATGGATTATTATTTATTCAATAGTGCTGACTCATTAATCAAAACTTAACCCAAGGGCTTCCCTGGTGGCGCAGTGGTTGGGAGTCCGCCTGCCGATGCAGGGGACACGGGTTCGTGCTCCGGTCCGGGAGGATCCCACATGCCGCGGAGCGGCTGGGCCCGTGAGCCATGGCCGCTGAGCCTGCGCGTCTGGAGCCTGTGCTCCACAACGGGAGAGGCCACAGCAGTGAGAGGCCCGCGTACACACACACACACACACAAAAACTTAACCCAATGTGACTTATTCTTTGCTCAGGAAATAATTATTGATCTGACAGTCTCTAAGTGTTGAATCATATTCTAGAAACTACGTGAAAATACCTAAGAAGCCCAAGGAGGTAAGGCTGAAGCAGGTAAGGCTGGAGGAGGGGCCCCCGGGCAGGGCACAGGTCGGACCAGGAGAAGGGCGGGACCATTGTTGGGGGAACCCGCTTCCGGGGGAAGGGACAGCAGTCAGGGGCGGACCAGCACCAGGAGGAAGCTGCCGGGGGAAGCCTGAGGGAACTGTGGGAGGCAGCAGGTACGCTCCAGACCTTTTGTGGGTGGGTTCGGAATTCTCTTTTCCGAGAATATTCTTTACTTAACACCTCCTCACATCCTCCTAGGTCAGAACAGAGTTCTGACCCAGCCATTTCTCCCATGCCTGAGGACAGCAGGATGCGAGTGGAGGAAACTGGAATCCCCGGGCCTCAGGACTGAGGGTGAATTCATGCAGGGTGGCAAGGAGAGGGGGTGGGGAGATAACACAAGCCTGTCATTGGGCTGCCGCCGGCCGGCCTGAGCAGGATAGGGGCGAGGGCAAGGCAGCGACCCAGGAGAAGGGCACGGAAGGAAATGGGGCTGCCACCCACTGTGCGGATGGTTGAATTTGGGGCTGTGGAGGTCACAAGTCAGTCCCTTGCTTCTCACCAAGAATTTGACGACCCCTGAATCACCAGCTTGTCACCTAGTTCACTGGGCAAGAAGACCATACAGACTGAAAAGATCTTGTCCTTGTCCTCCGTACATCGGAGGAGGGGCAATGAAGACACTTAGAAACAATCAGATGGCTTGGCCAGTGTGACAAAAGGAATAGCATGTGATAACAGCCAGTGGAATGTTAATGATGATTTTATAAGGATGGTTTTATAATAATAGTGATGGTTTAAAAACACCTCAAGGGGCTCATTAGCGGGGAGGAGTTGGGAGAAAATCAAGCTCAAATTAAAATGAGTTTAGTTCAGGAGCCATGTTCTGAGACAAAACCCTAGTGAAACCTTTTTCATTTAAAATGTTAGGAACTACAGGACTTCCCTGGTGGCGCAGTGGTTAAGAATCCGCTTGCTAATGCAGGGGACACGGGTTCGAGCCCTGGTCTGGGAAGATCCCACATGCAGTGGAGCAATTAAGCCTGTGTGTCACAACTACTGAAGCCTGTGCTCCTAGAGCCCTAGCTGTGCAAGGGAAGCCCCTGCTCGCCGCAAGTGTGCAGCAACAAAGACCCAACACAGCCAAAAATAAATAATTTAAATAAATAAATAAATAATAATAATAGTACAATGTTAGGAACTACAAAGAAGACATACACATGGCCAGTAGGCACATGAAAAGATGCTCAACATCACTAATCAAAATGAGGTATCACCTCACACCAGTCAGAATGGCCATCCTTAAAACGTCTACAAGTAGGGCTTCCCTGGTGGCACAGTGGTTGAGAGTCCGCCTGCCGATGCAGGGGACACGGGTTCGTGCCTCGGTCCGGGAAGATCCCACATGCCGCGGAGCAGCTGGGCCCGTGAGCCATGGCCGCTGAGCCTCTGCGTCCGGAGCCTGTGCTCCACAACGGGAGAGGCCACAACAGTGAGAGGCTGGGGGACCACAAAAAAAAAAAAAAAGTCTACAAGTAACAAATGCTGAAGAGGGTGTGGAGAAAAGGGAGCCCTCCTACATTGTTGGAGGGAATGTAAGTTGGTGCAGCCACTATGGAAAACAGTGTGGAGGTTCCTCAGAAAACTAAAAACAGAATTACCATATGATCCAGCAATTCCACTCCTGGGCATATACCCAGACAAAACTATAATTCAAAAAAACACATGCACCCCTATGTTCATTGCAGCACTAGTTACAATAGCCAAAACATGGAAACAACCTAAATGTCCATCAACAGATGAATGGATAAAGAAGATGTGGAACATATATGCAATGGAATACTACTCAGCCGTACCAAAGAACCAAATAATGCCATTTGCAGCAACGTGGATGCAACTAGAGATTATCATACTAAGTGAAGGAAGTCAGAAAGAGAAAGATAAATACCATATGATATCACTTGTATGTGGAATCTAAAATATAGCATAAATGAACTTATCTAGAAAACAAAAACAGACTCACAGACATAGAGAACAAGGGGGGGGGGGGGGGGGGGGGTAAAATAAAATAAAATAAAATGTTAAGAACTAAAAAAAAAGTTGAGAGGGAGGATTTTGCATCATTAACTACTTCAGATTATCCTATAGATCAGAACAGTATACAGTTCAAAAACAGTATATCAAATCATAATGATTTCTAAACTTTACCCCAAAAGGAATTTTACTGCATTTATCATGGGTTGCTATTACAGTTAGTCTCCTGTCTTAAGGATCAAGTTTTAACTATTGAAGAGTTTTACTAGTGTATGTGATACAGAGGATAATAATTCAATAAACTGAAAATACACGGCTAAAATTCAGATTGAAAACCACTAATAGTTGTTAATGCAATATAAAAAGAGGAAGGAAATTGGATTTCTTTATGAAGTAACAAATTGTCAAGCAATATCTATGTTTTGGTGTACCTCATTTTAAACAATATATCCCCAAAATTACTTTGAGTAATTACTTTAGGAATTTTACTTACCTTTACTTTGGACTACTTGTTACTGCCACTTTCACACACCAGGCATTGGCACATGCCCCTTCCTCAGTCTAGATTACCTAAATTTCAAATTTGTATTTTCTCCTTTCTCTTTGCTAGGGAAAAGTCTAAAGACAAGTATTTCATACTTTTAGATTATATTAATCCTGATTCTTCTAGACACTCTCCCACCCTCAAATGTAAATGATTACTGTTTTGCAAAAGTCAATTTCTCCATCCTAACTAAATGAGTTTACCTCTGGAATTCTGCAGAATTTCTTGTGATTGGTTCCATAGAACTAAAACTGAAACTCATTCTTCTCTTCAACAGTTAGTTGGCTATATCCCAAAGTATTCTTATACAAAATAAGAGAATAGAAATACTTAGCAATTGCTTTGAGCATATTAATTTCCTTATGTCCTTTATTTACCAAACAGGTTACCATACAAAATATGAAAAATATTCAATAATTGTATTGTCTACTCAGGCTGCTATAACAAAATACTATAGGCTGAGTGGCTTAAACAAGAGAAATTTATTTTCTCATAGTTCTGGAAGCTGGGAAGTCCAAAATTAAGGTGCCAGCAGGCTTGATATCTCACGAGGGCTCTCTCCTTGGGTTTCAGACAACCACCATCTCACTGTGTGCTCACAAGGCCTATCCTCAGTGTGAACATGTGGAGATAGAACAAGAGCACTCTCTCTCTTTCTCTTCTTATAAGGCCACAGTCCTATTAGATTAGGGCCCCACCTTTGTGACTTCATTCCTTAATTATCCTTAATTAACCTTAATTATCTCCTAAAGATTCTATCTCCAAATACAGTCACACTGGAGTTTAGAGCATCAACATAAGAATTTTGGAGGCGACACAGTTCAATTCCTAGCAACAGGCAGACTACCAAGAAATGCAGCAAAAAATATTTGTGGCATGATAATTAAATATTATAAACATCTTAAATTGAGAATACCTATATTTAAAAGTCATGCATCAGATTTAGTAATGCATCAGATTTTAAGTACAGCCATACTGATGGCAAAGAGATGAGTATTGAACAGTGGCATAATTTGTTTTTTGTGTAACAAATAATTTCTACATATGCACATATCATTGCACTAAGTTTAGACTGGTTTAGAGAAAACTTGGCTGGTGCGGGTGTGGAGAGGAGTGGAGAAGCCTTAATTCATTTGACCATGGTTAATACTGGGGGTATAATAAAAATTCTCTGAGTGCAATGGAGCTCAAGTAGGTATTCCATGAGTGGAGTACAGAAACTTTAGTATTTGAGCTATTTAGTATTTGAGCTACCACTATTATATGCTTTGTATATTGTTTGTTTGTTTGTTTTAACACTATCTACTCTTCATTAGTTTAGATATGAATCAAAGCAGTGAAGGATGTATGAAAAAGATTAGCAATGTGAATATTGACAAACTTATAAATGACTTCTCACAGATAGAAAAGGTATGTAATGCTATCAAACAGTTGTAGAATATAAGGAAAAGTGGAACAGATTTTGCCAATGGAGGGAGTTGGGAAGAAAAAAAATGTACAAAAAAATAAGCAAGGTAAAAATAATGGAAATGCATTTTGCTAAGCCCCTTCACATTTTTAAAATCTGTATTTAAAACATGTGGTTTTGGCTCGTTTATACTAATACATCAAAATGTTTGGGGGGCAAGCGAATGAATAATTGATACACTTTTGCTAAACTTAAAGGGGAAATACATGTGTAAGTACCCAGGTTGTCCATAAATTCAAGAATGGTTTAGTAAGAATTGAAGTAGACTCAATCCTCAATCTCTTGCCATTATGACTAACTCTTAATTTTTCAGTCTTTCCTATTTTGTTCCCTTTTTCTTCTCTTTTGCCTAATAGCAGACTTGTTTAAAGTCCCCCTCCCCAACTCTGGACAAATTACATGGTAGACCATACCCACAAGTATATATTAGGCTTTTTCTCTCCTCCTCTGTCTGGGATAGGAGTAGGAATAGCTGTTGAGAAATGTAGATGGATAAATTAAAGACTTGGGAGGTGGATTTGTGAAACAGGAATAGGAGCGGGAATAATACCTACTTCTGTTTTCTCTCCTTTTCTTATCATCCTTCTCTATTCCTTCTTTTCCAATTTAGTATTGCCATAATGAAAGAATTTTCGTGACGATGGGTATTCTGAGATAACGTGAGCTTTTTTTTCAACGATGAACCTGGGTTTTCTTAACCAAGTGATTCTGACCAAAGTAAGAGAGAAAGAAGGAAATAAGCACTTTGGTAGGAGAGGAATTTGTACAAAGTATTTGAAGATTAATTTGGAATTAGCTCTTATATTCTTAGACGTTTTAAATAAGAAATATTGTTCATTTTTTGATGTTATAATGGTATTGTGATTGTATTTTTGAGTCATCTCTTAGAGATGCACATAAATGATAATATTTATGGATGGAACAATATAATGTCAAGGAGTTGCTCTGAGATAAATTCAAAAGTGGTGAGACTAGGGATTGGGTAGAGGTATAGATGATACAGGACAGGTCATGAATTGATTTTTGAAGGTGCTTGAAGGATACATGGTAGCTATTTCACTATCCACAAAGATATCAAAGAGATATGTTCAAGAATATTTATTCATTGTCTATAATAGCAAAATGTGGGAACAGCACAAATTTTCCTCAATAGGGAACTATTTAAATAAATTATATTCAAGAATGAAAAAATGCAGCTGTTAAAAAGAATGAGGTAGACCTTTATGTGCTTATGTGACATCATCTCCAAGAAAATAGTACTAAGTGGAACATTTAAGGTACAGAACAGAGTAAATACTACCCTTTCCTATAGTTGTGTAGTCATAAAATATTTTGGAAATATTTATAAGGAATTTTTAATCGAAGGACTGGAGGTTGAATAGTTGGAAAGAAGGAGGTTCAAATTAGATCATATTTTTACTTTTTATAACTTTTCATAAGTGCTCATCTGTTTTAACTTTTTACCATGTTACTCTTTAAATTAAAGATAAATTAGAAAGTTGGCTTATTTAAAAATATATGCCAGGCTTAATTATTAGACTCTCAGGTATTAAATGGTTTGTATTTTCATTAGTCTTCATATCCTTAGGTAAAAAAAAAAAAATCAAAATAGCAGCATTGATTTAGTGGTAATATGTATTCTGTTTCTTCTACAGAGGATGATAGAAAACAGTGGAAAGAACAATATACTGGATATGCAGTTGGAAAAAGCTAACTGTTTATTGAAAGTAATGCAAACAAAGGAGGTCGCAATTAAAGAAGGTTAGTTCTTTGCTGCCTACAGAAATAGTAATTCTAATGAGTGTGCTTTTTGCTGTAACAGTGATTTTACATTTGTAAAATATTTTAAATTCACATAGAACTTTCCAGACTATCATTTCATTTTATCCTTAATATAAACCTGAAAGACAAATAGGACTGGTATTACTATTCCACCTCGGTAATGAAGAAACATGAACAAAAGAAGGTAATCTGTCTGAGTCCAGTCAGCTAAGAAATGGCGAATCCAGGGACTTCCCTGGATTTGGTGGTACAGTGGTTAAGACTTCACCTTCCAACGCAGGGGGTGCAGGTTCAATCCCTGGTCGGGGAGCTAAGATCCCACATGCCTCACAGCCAAAAAACCAAAAACATAAAACAGAAGCAATATTGTTAACAAATTCAATAGGCTTTTTAAAAAATGGTCTACAACAAAAAAATCTTAAAAAAAAAAAAAAAAAGAAATGGCAACTCCAAGGCTCAGTCCAGGTCTTCAAACACATGGAAAAAGTACAGTTGAATTCCTGCCTCACAATTACACCAGAAGAAATGTCAGATGGGTCAAAAATTTTAGTGTTAAAAATGGGCTGTCCTAGTCTGAAGCTCTCCCCTCGCTTCTTGGACGTCCACACCATGCGCTCAGCTCAGCTCCCAGCAGCTGCCATCCCCCCTGCCTCTACTTGCTCTACACCTTCTCTGTGCACCCGTCAGCCCTCAGGGAGCCTGGGAGCCTGGGCACCCAGCCTGGCACGGTCCTACTCATTGAGAAAGCGGCATTGCTCTGCGACACAAAGGTCTGAGACTGCACTCAGATGAACAAGCTGCAGTGGCAACTTTGCCCCAGGCCTGGTAGTGCTGAGCTTCCCATGCAACCAGTTCCAGGCATCAGGAGAACACCAAGTACCAAGAGAGCCTGAATTCCCTCAAGCTCATCAGAGATGGTCACGCTTTTCCAGAAGTGTGTGATGAATGGCACGCAGATGCACCTGCTTTGCGTCTTCCGGTGGAAGGCCTTGCCCTAGCCCGCTGACAACCGCTGTTTTCAACAGATTCCAAGCTCATCACCTGGGCTCTGTGTGCTGCAATGCTGTTGCCTGGAAGTTAGAGAAGTTCCCCGGAAGTTAGAGAAGTTCCCCAAAGGTGGGTCTGTGCCCAGCATGGAAGCCCTGCTGTCCCCGGAGCCCAGCTGTGCCTAGGGCTCCCCTCCTACCTCTGCTGCTTGCCAGTCACAGTGCTGCCCTCTGTGGGGGTCTCATCCATAAGGTATTTCCTCTACACCTGCGTGCAGAAGCCACCTGATAACCAGGAAGATCCCCCTAGACAGATGCTAGTCCTGTCCATCCCAGCCTTCCCTTTATTAGTAAGGGTCCTTACTAATAAAGAGCTGGGCATCAGAAAAAGAAAAAAGAAGAAGAAGCTGTATACATATAATTCCTCACTACGTCAACCGAGAGGGCATAAAATCAGTAGGAACAAACGAACCTAGCACCAAGATCTTGGTTTCTAATACCGTCTTATAATAAAAGGAACCAGGGCTCCTTGAAGAAATGGTTGATTCTAAGACTGGGGCAAGAAATATATAAGATGAGCCTAAAGCATCTTGTAGTATCAGAAAATAAGAAAGTGCTCAAAAAGAAAAAAAAACTCCACAGTGATAGGGGTATGTTAAAGGGATAAAGGACCCAAGTGAAAAAGTTCTCAATGACCAAAGCTGGAATGATTTGAGCAGCAAAATAGATAAAGTAGTATTGGATTATAACTCAAAGTATATAATAAATATCCATGAGTACATACTGATAAAAATAAATGATTAAATAAATAAATAAATGGGGATGAAGAGATAAATCTCTGCAGAATTCCAAATAAATTATGTAAGTGACTTGGCCTCAAGGAATTATATCATAACACCCCACTCATCAGGTGTGGGCTGTGTATAGTGACTTTCTTCACTATAGGGAAACATACAGAATTGAAAAGGAGGTGGTGGAGAGTAACTATATAGTGGAAAAATCTCACATACACGACCTAAGGCAAATAATCAAGGTCAACTTGGTGTAATGTTGACAGTATATACCTTTGCTATGATGTGATGAAGATGGCACTTTTCCTCTATGTTCTTCCCCCCCATAACCTCATCTAATCATGAGATAAGCATCAGACAGATTCACATAGAGGGACATGCTACAAAATAACTGGCCAGTACTCTGCAAAACTGCTAAGGTCATCAAAAACAAGAAAACTCTGAGAATCTATCACAGCAAAGAGGACCCACGGAAGACATGACATCTAAATGTAATGTGGTATTGTGGATGGAATCATAGAACAGAAAAAGGACATTAGGTAAAAATAAAGAAAATCAGAATAAAGCATAGATTTTAGTTAATAATAGTGTATCAACATTGGTTCATTAAGTATAGCAAACATACTGTACTAAAGTAAGATGTTAATAATAGGGGAAACCAGGTATAGAATATTTGGCAACTCTCTGTAATATCTTCCCAATTTTTCTGTACATCTAAAACTGTTCTAAAAAATAAAGTTAAAGGTCAAAAACTGAAGCCACACACACAAAAAAACTGGAAGAGAATATAGGGGGTTTTGTTTTTATGTTTTTAAGAACTGAGAAAGCCTTTCCAAGAGTGACATCTATCAGTGGATATCTGGTTAAATAAATTATGGTATGTTTATTTAATGAAATACTATGTAACTGATAAAACAGTGAAGTACCTTTATATGATATAACATAATCTCCCACATATAGTAAATGAAAATAACAATGTACACAACAGTATATTATCATTTTTATAAAAATATATCAATGCACACACAAACACCCTCTCCCCTATATATTTGTATATCTCTGGAAAGATAAACAATGTCCCGGTAGCAGTGCTTGCTTTGAGGGGAGGGAAACTGGTTACTTTTGGGGCAGAGATTGGCGAGATAGTCACTTTTCACTAAACTTGTGTTTTATGTGTATGTATTACTTGAAAAACATAATCAAATACTTCTTTAAAATCCAGTTATACGTATTCTAAATCTAATGGCCTTTTTGCTGAATAATACGCAGTAGAAGTGAAAGAACAAGTGAGAATGATATCTTAGAAAGCAAAATGTGTACTAATTCACTTAGAGAGGAGGAACAAACTACATATAATGATTGGACTTGTTCAACAATAAAGAGTGATACCTTGATATTTTATTTTCTTCACTTGATACCAGATAAACAATGTCTTTGCCAGCTCAAGATGGTATAATATTGATATTGAGGATCATATACTATTAAAAAAAAAACCTTTTCATACATAATTGTATTTAATATTTACAACTGCTTTATGAAATAAATATTAATGTCCAAATTGCTTGTTAATGATAGAGCCTAAATGTGACCTCAAAATAATCACTGATTTACTAAATTATACAGTATAAGCAGTAGCTTAATATTCTGAGCTCTAGTTTTTAAGAATTGGATAGGATAGTATACTTCAAATTACACTGTGAAGTCCAACAGAAATGATAATGCAGGTAAAGATTTGCAAAGAGAATTAAAAGCTATTATTCTAAAATAAAGAATGGTATTCTATTGATACCTTTTGAAGAATTCCTTATTGAGACAGTTTCCTTTGTTTTAAAAAAAAAAAAAGTGTGTTGAGAGAGCCACCTTGTGTTCTAAATTTGAAAATACACATTTTGGGAACATTCAGTATACTTTCAGTTTCAGGGCTCTGTTTTCAATTTGCTGATTACTGAGGTACCATATTTCATAAATGCTGGATTCATGTTTTTAAAGGCACAAAGACAAGTGATGGCAGGATCTATGCCATTTTGAATTGTAGCAGCTAATACAGTACCATACATGAAGTAGGTAATGTCACTTGTCACTTAACCATCATTCTATTACTGAGAAACAGCAAGAGAAAAAAAATGGATGTTGGTGGGAACTTTGTCTGAGTTGGTGGTGGGGAAGGTAGAGGGGGAATGGGGAGGAGTAGAACCTTATACTTGCATAAAGATTTTAACTTCTACAAAATACTTTCATTTCTATTAGTGTAGTTGAAAAAAGTACATGGAGACTGAGTGCAGGACCACTAACTGAAAGGTGAAGTTTTGAATTCTCCCCTCACAGTACTGGTTCTTTCACTTAGTTAATAAATACAAAAACTATTGAACACCTATGAAATAGTTACCACTTTAGAAGCAAGGAATATCAAAATAAATATCTTTACCTGAAAGAGTTCACTATCTAGTGGGAGAAACCACAAATAACTAAAATGTAATGTGAACAATGGAGAAAAGCAATATATACAAATTGTTATGGGATACAGAGGAGAGAAATAGTAACAACAACAATAACGATGTTGAATATTTGTGAGTGAATTTAGAAAGTATTTTTTTTCATTTGTTTGTCAGAACAGTCTAATATATGAGAATAGTAGCTTACCCAGAGTGTCATAGCTACAAAGTAAAGAAAACTCTAATCTGGTTCCTCTGATTCCAAATTTCATGGTTTCATCAGCATATCCTACAATTCCTGAGGAAGTACTGAATTAAGAGCACAGGATTTGAAATGCAAAATCCTATGTTCAAAACTAGACCTTCCATATACTGTGGAATCTTTGTTAAGTAACCAGACCTCTATGGGTGTCTTCCTCCCTTTGCAAAATCACAATAATTATACCAACTTCTCAGTATCAGATGGAATACTGATTATGATGTTTATAATGTACTTAGTGTAATGCCTGGCAGGGTAAGCCTTCAATAATAGTACTTTATTATACCTAGACAATTTTTATGGTTAGACACAAATGTGGTATTTAATATTTAACCATCAAAACAGATACCCAACTAAAATGGAAACTAGTCAGTGTGTCACACTAATGCATAGTGCCTGAATATCAGCCATGGGCCTCTAAAACAAAAATAAAGAGCATAAGGTTCAATATTTATTAGCTGTTAAGCCAAGCACATAAGAATGAAATTGCCCTAATCTTTCTTTTTAAAAATATTGTTATTCTTTATGAAGTTTTCATCATTATATATTTAGCTAGTATAATTATAAACTTAAACTAGTACAACCTGCATTTCTCAAATTTATAGTAAAAATGTGATAGCAATAACTATCTCAGAGTCTGTCTCTGGCTCTGTCCTTGCCCTCTTTCCAGGGCCTCCCACCTACTCAAATTACTCTGAAGAAGTGGTCTTGCGCTGGTCTTCTTGGTGGTAGTAAAGTAGTTAGAATCATTGACTTTGGTGCTGGACTGCTGGAGTTCATGTTGTAGCTCTACTATCTACTATTTATAGCTTTGGATAATTTGCTAAACTTCTGCGTATCAATTTCCTTATATGTAAAATGAGGCAAATACTAGGACCAATGTCATAGGGTTAAGAGGGTTAAATGATTTAATATTTGCAAAGCACTTTGAATATCAATACAATATTATTTTCACACCACAGTTTCTCCACTTATTCCTTTCTTACTATGATATTGCCTGTCAATCAATCAATCACTTAACAAATATTTATGGAAAGACTATTATGGACCACAACTGTTCTAAGTACTAGGGAGAAACAGTAAAAAAGAAAATAGTCCCTGCTATCCTGGAGCTTACAGCCAAGTGGACTGATTAAAGTTACAGAAGTTTCCACCACTGTTGCTACCGTCAGCTGTTGCTGGTGATAACCAAGGGTATACTGAAAGCTTATATGCACATGTCAGGGCACTAATGCTTGCAAAGGAGGTTCCATCTCCCGTTATGCAAGAAGACATTGGCACCAAAGCTGCTGTTGCCTTGTAACTCAGCATATTGAGTTTTTACTCCTTTTATTGCTACTCCCTTGCTCTAGGACTCAGGCAAAGAGGACAGGTTAGAGGACACTGAGGAAGAAAAGCATTATCTTCTCCCAAATGACACCTTCTCATCAGCTCTATTTTTGAACATAACTTAATGTTCCTTGACTCTCTTTCCTTAGAATGTTCTTTTATGGAAAATTCACACCTCATAGTTCTCCAGACATGTCCAAATGTGCCTTACTTCTAGGGCAGATGTTGCTAAGTCACATGGTGGGGAATCCCTACATACTGGGTTTATCATGCCTTAGAAAACTCATTACTAAATCGTGGAGTGCATTTGAATTAAAGAGTGCTTAAAAAGTGATTAAAAAGTATTTATTATATAATTTATTTTGAGATATCTGGTTGCTTTATTAGGTCTCATAATTGTCAATTAAATATTATTTTAAGTGTCTCAACTTTGAGATAATAATTCCAAAGTGAAAGCAAATAATATTCAAATAAATTTATCTTTTATGTTTTAGAATGTGCTACTCTTCATAATATGATAAAAGGGCTACAACAGACCATTGAATATCAACATAATTTGAAAGGTAAGTTAGAAAAAAAAGTAAAATCTAAAAAAATAAGATATATTTAAGCACCTTTAAGAATAGAGAGTTTTCATAAACAAAATGAAAAGACAACCCTCAGAATGGGAGGAAATATTTGCAAATGAAGCAACTGACAAAGGATTAATCTCCAAAATTTACAAGCAGCTAGTGCACCTCAATATCAAAAAAATAAACAACCCAATCCAAAAATGGGCAGAAGACCTAAAAAGACATTTCTCCAAAGAAGATATACAGACTGCCAACAAACACATGAAAGAATGCTCAACATCACTAATCATTAGAGAAATGCAAATCAAAACTACGAGGTATCACCTCACACATGATCAGAGTGGCCATTATCAGAAGATCTACAAACAATAAATGCTGGAGAGGGTGTGGAGTAAAGGGAACACTCTTGCACTGTTGGTGGGAATGTAAATTGATACAGCCACTATGGAGAACAGTATGGAGGTTCCTTAAAAAACTAAAAACAGGGGGCTTCCCTGGTGGCGCAGTGGTTGGGAGTCCGCCTGCCGATGCAGGGGATACGGGTTCGTGCCCCGGTCTGGGAGGATCCCGCATGCCGCGGAGCGGCTGGGCCCGTGAGCCATGGCCGCTAAGCCTTCGCGTCCAGAGCCTGTGGTCCACAAACAATCTGAATAAAGAAAACCAGACTTTGAAGAGTTAAATCAACATTGTGAAAACTATTGATGCATTTTCAGTTCCATTGTTTCACTAAAATGTAAACAATAATAATGATTCAATAATTTTAGAGTTTTATAACAGTACTTTAAATAATATTAGAATAAATTAACATTTTTCCTCTTTAGTTCACCTTTTTTACTCCTATTTTATCTGTTTAAAGAATTATATACAATTAGAAAATAGTATATATACACACATATATATAAGTTATAAATAACTAAACATGAATTGGGATGTACACACTCATCTTTTTTTTATAAATTTATTTATTTATTTATTTATTTTGGCTGCATTGGGTCTTCATTGCTGCACGCGGGCTTTCTCTAGTTGTGGCGAGTGGGGCTACTCTTTGTTGCAGTGCACGAGCTTCTCATTGTGGTGGCTTCTCTTGCGGCAGAGCACAGGCTCTAGGCGAGCGGGCTTCGGTAGTTGTGGCACACAGACTCAGTAGTTGTGGCTCGCGGGCTCCAGAGCGCAGGCTCAGTAGTTGTGGTGCATGGGCTTAGTTGCTCCGTGGTATGTGGGATCTTCCTGAACCAGGGCTCGAACCTGTGTACCCTGCATTAGCAGGTGGATTCTTAACCACTGCACCACCAGGGAAGCCCATGCTCATTATTTTTATTAAGAGGGCATACAATTATAAGAGTTTGGAGACTATTAGTTTAGAACACTTCATCTGTTTGTCACTACTTTTTAGATTTCGTTATTTATGTTGGCCAGTCTATTCCCTCCTAACATCCTACCAGTTATATATGACATAGTGGTTGGTCCCTCTTACCAAGGTATTAAACCTTTTATGGCAATACCATTGGACTTTCATAGCTTAAGGGAAAACGTGAGCCTCTCATTCTCATGAGTGATTGGATAATCAAGTTAAATATATTTTCTGAGATGTTCTCATTGTCAAGGACCGAAGAAGCTCTTGCTTTTATTACTGCTAACCTGACACCAAGAAGGAAAGTCATGAAACAATATTAAGTGAATTGCATCTGATATGCTGTCTATCAGGGTGGAGAGAGGCAAGAGCCCATCATGCAGGTTATGCACGAGTGTTGGCAGCCTTTATACTATGGACTTTTTTTTCTTGTTACTTGATTACCCTATCCTCTACTCCTCAACTTTAGTCTTTATACCTCAAAGAATGAATTCATCCTATCTTTGAAGTAATACGTGTTTGGAGTTCAGGACATGAACATAGAAATAGAGTATGATTCATCACAATATATCAAATGATAGGAATATTTCTTATATTATTTTATATTATTCTATATACTGGTTTAGGAAAGAAACTTCAGTAACTCATTATATGAAAGATGGTGACGTTATGCCTTTTGATTTATGACCAGTGACTACTAATACCAGGGCAAAAAAAAAAAGACTTGGAGGTTTTTCTCCATTAGAGGAGAATTATCACCATATAACCAGTCCCAGATCAATTGAATTTCAGGAATTTAAACACATGGGCAGTAAAAAAAACAGAAAAGAGAGAGACACATGAAATCAGCTGCAAATATGGAGCATCTCCAAATTCAGTCGAATTTAAACTTATTTTTGCCAGTTATCTCTAGATAATTTCTTATAACTTAATATTGCTTTTTTCCTATCTAAACTGAGTCTGAATAACTTGAATTTATTTAGGACCTTATACTTTAACAGGGTAAGTCTTAAGGAACACATTGTTACGTACAGTGCAACTTTACTATACAAAATTGTACTAAACAAAATGATTTAGTCAAAACTGATCATTGATCAGAATGTTTAAAAAGGGCAGTAGCACATATTTAGTGCTATTCTATAAGAGAATTATCTGAGAAAGTAGGCTAATCCATGATCAGCTACTTCTTAAGAAAAAAGTATTGCTTAAATTAAAAGTAGTTTGAAAAGTGTAGAAATACTTCTTTCAACATAATTGTGAAAAATACATCCTTGGAAAGAATGAAATAGATTCTAGAGATAGACTCCAATATTTGCTAGTGTATGTATGACACAAGGAATATTTCAATTTATTGGAAAAAGAATGGCATTTTAAAGTACGGTACTGGCCTAACTAGCTTACCATATGGAAAGCTTTCCCACCACATCAAAAATAAATTCCAGATGGATTTAAAAAAACTTTAGTGTGAAAACAACAATAAAAACTTAAAAGAAGATCCAGGAAAAATGTACAACCTGGAGCTGAGGGATATCATCTTAACCAATCTGGGAACCTCAGATACTATATAAAGAAAAAAAAGACCTAACAGACTTTCTTAACATCGATGCAACAAAAGCACAGACAACAATGTAAAAAGAACTTTGCATGTTATTTGTCACACAAAAGTCAAAAAGCCAATAATTTATTTGAAAATACCAATGTAGTTCAAATACCAATTGTAGTTCAAATACCAATGTAGTTTATATCTGCAATACAGAGAGCTCTACAAATTGATCAGCAGAGATAAAGAGAATTTTTAAATTGGCAAAAGATATGAATAAAAATATGGAAATGTGTATGTGTGTTCATATGTATGATCCAGAGGTTAAGAACATGAAGAAAAACACAGAAGGTTACACAATTACACCAGGGGTGTGGAGGCAATGGGAAAAAAAGAGGGAGAAGAAGAAGGCAGAAAGAAAGAGAATGGAAGAGTTCCCTAAAAGCATCTCAGCATGCATGATATGACCCTATTTACGTAAAATTATTAAAATGTATGTACAAAAATGCAAAGAAAAATTATAGACTTGAAGGAATGTCCATTTTTAAGAAATAAGTTTTTTTGCAAAGTAATATATATGGTACAATTTTATACTGTTAAAAACAAATAAAACCAGTACAAATGTGTGGTATGTTTATATATAATTGTATAAACTGGGAGAAAAATAGAGAAGGGATACAGACCAGGCTGTTAACACTGATAGCTTCAGTGAGGGGAGTGGATAGGGAAGGTGTATAGAGATGATTAGCTTCCCTTTACAGTTGCTTCACTTACTAAAAGAAGCAAGTATGCTTTTATAAATCGGAAAACATCGAATACCTTTCCTTTCATTTTTCAGTGATGGATACTTCAGCAATTCCAATAGATACAAGAGATATTTGTTGCCTAGTTAGCACAATCTCTTTATACTGAATGGTGAGGCACTAGAGGCTTTCCCACTAAGATTAGGAGCAAGGCAAGGAAATCCTCTCTTACCACGGCTTTTCACCATTGTGTTGGAAGTTCTAGCTAGACAAGAAAAGGAAATAAAAGGCATACAGATTGGGAAGGAAGAAATAAAACTTTTTTCAAAAATGACATCATTGGACTTCCCTGGTGGCGCAGAGGTTGAGAGTCCACCTGCCGATGCAGGGGACACGGGTTCGTGCCCCAGTCCGGGAAGATGCCACATGCCGCGGAGTGCCTGGGCCCGTGAGCCATGGCCACTAAGCCTGCGCATCCGGAGCCTGTGCTCCACAACGGGAGAGGCCACAGCAGTGAGAGGCCCACGTACCGCAAAAAATAAAAATAAAAATAACATCATTATCTACATGGAAAATCTAAAATATTCAACAAAAAAACCTTCTAGAACTAAGTGATTACAGCAAGGTTGAGCTATACAAGATTAATATACAAAAGTCAATTGTTTTCCTATATACTAGCAATGAACAAGTGGAATTTGAAATTTAAAACACAATATTTGGGGCTTCCCTGGTGGTGCAGTGGTTAAGAATCCGCCTGCCAGTGCAGGGGACATGGGTTCGAGCCCTGGTCTGGAAAGATCCCACATACCACGGAGCAACTAAGCCCATGCACTGCAACTACTGAGCCTGCGCTCTAGAGGCTCTGAGCCACAACTACTGAAACCTGTGCACGTAGAGCCCATGCTCTGCAACAAGAGAAGCCACCGCAATGAGAAGCCCACACACCACAACGAAGAGCAGCCCCTGCTCGCCGCAACTAGAGAAAGCCCACGCACAGCAACGAAGACCCAACACAGCCAAAAATAAATAAATAAAATAAAGAAATTTTTTAAAAAATTAAAAATAAAACATGATACTATTTACATTAGCACCTCCCAAAATGAAATACTTAGGTATAAATCTAACAAAATATGTATAAGATATATGTAAGAAAAACTACAAAACTTTGATACAGTAAGTCAAAGAAGAACTAAATAAATAAAGAGATAGTCCATGTTCATGGAAAGGAAGATTCAATATTGTCAAGATGTCAGTTCTTTCCAACTTGTTCTATAGATTCAAAGTGATCCCAATCACTATCCCAGCAAGTTACTTTGTGAATATGACAAACAGAGTATGGATAATACAGAACTTGGAATTATTGTTATCCAGGTCTAATGTCTCATTCAGTCCTGTCACTGATCCCAGTTAGGCACTGAACTCAAGTCCTGACCTCTATCTCACACTGATTCCCAGTTCCTGTCCTGGCTCCAATCCTACTTCTGGCCTAATTTTAGCTCTGAACACCTTTAATGTCTGGCTCAGGTAGAGATCCTGACTCTATTTTGAACTCTCACCACGCACTATACCAGGATTGGCTCTTTCCTGATCTAAGTATATCTGATTTTCCTAAAAACACCTAGAGGTTAACAAGAGTGAATACAGAAAACTGTGAAGCACCACTCCTTCTCCATCATCCTTCATCAAGAGAAACATTTTGGTTATATACAAAAAATGTCAATTATGATAGGTGTGAAACAGTAGGACAAATTAAAGATGCAAAACTACATTTTAATTAATTTCATTTTTTCTTATTTAAGTTTTACATGGAAAGGCATTATATAAATACAACTGTGGTTCTTAATAATGTTGCTGAAAGCTAAAACCTCCCTTTCTTTCTAGCTTAGGATGTCACTCATCTTCTCTTTTGAGAGTAGTTTTGTTTCCCTCACCCATTCTGCAATACAAACTATACTAATCCTCAAATACAGATCAATCCAACCATACACTGTTTTACTTACATTGATTGCTACAGCTACTGAAGTCTATTGGTGAAAAATCATACACTGCAGACTCCTTTTAATTTTTGAGTCCCAGTATCACTTATACCCTTAATTTATCTTGGCTTTTTAAATTTTCATCCTTTAAGCCCCCAACTTTAAATGTTTCTTTCTCTTTCAACCTACTTTACTTTCTATATCACAGAAAAAACGAAAGCTGTCAGGTATAAACTACCTCATTTCCTGTCATCTACCACCCCTTCTTCCCACTGCACTTCCTCCAATGTATTCATACACAGGCATATCCTTCCTTCCTTCCTCATTAGCTTAGAAAAAAAGAAAATCCTTCTTCTTATCCAAAGTTTATTTCCCTGCATGGGTTTAACTTTCATCTCTCTTCACCTCTCTCTTCTGGGATGTTGCATCTTCAGTTGTCTCTTCTTTTCTCTCTTTCACTTCCCTCTCTCTATTGGCCATTCTTCTCAGCACTTAAACAACTCAGATCTCTCCCATCTTTTCAACAAAAAAGACAAAGTTTTCTTGACTTTGGGTTTATTCCCTCCAATTACCCTCTCTCTTTCCTTTTACAATCGAATCTCAAGGGAATTGTCTGCACTCACTCTCTCCATTTCCTTACCTTCACCTAGTCTTCAACTTAGAACAATTGAACATCTCCCAAAGTTTTCAGATTCAAAGTTCGTTCATTTTATCTTTTTACTGCATTTATTGCCTTTGATTATAACCCCCTTAAACTCTCTTTTCTTAGTAACACCCTCACCTGCGTCTCTGAACACTTCTTAGTCTTCTTTATAGGAAAGTCTTCCTTTGGCCACCTCTAAATGTTTCTCAGCCTACGAGAAATATTCTCCTGGATACCTCAAGCATTTCAAATTTGGTGTGGTAAAGATCTTCACTCCTAAAAATCTTCCCCTTTTAATTTTTCCCAAACCAATGAACAGTTTTCAACCACTCAAATCAGAAAACTAGAAGGCAAACGTTCCGTTTTCTCTTTTGCCTCTGCTATCCAATTGGTCACTAAGTCTCCTGTTAATTCTATCATCTAAATAGTTATCTTTATTTTCCTTTTGTCTCCTACTGCCAGTGACCTAATTTAGGCTCCTGTTATTTCTTACTTGATCAATTGTTACTGATATCCATTCCTCTGGGGTCAACCCCCACCCCCATTCATCCTCTGCACTGCCGGATAATCTTTTTAACATGTAACTAATCATTTCACTTCACTGTTCAAGATTCTTTGATGATTCTGTAACGTATAAAATAAATACAAAATTATTCATATAGAATATGTCTACCTCCTATTAGGCTACATCTCCAACCTATTTAACACATTCTCCTTAAAATTTACACTCCAACAATACTGTATTTGAATTGTAATTTTCCCAAATGTGCTATATTCACTCAAGCCCAAAGTCTTCTGTGCAGTTTTCTGTATCTGGAACACATTCCTCCAACTTATCATTTAAGTCTCAGCTCAAGTGGTTTCTCATCTACAAATCCTTTCCTGACTTCAAGCTGACCTAAGCTTTTCTTCCACAGCTCCCCACCATATTTCAGACACACTGCCATTACAGAGCAATTATCATAGCATATCATAACTATTTACACATCTGTCTCACCACTATGCTGTCAGTTCTTTGAGGAGAAATAATTTTTTTGTTTCAACTTTCCCAGTGTCATGCACAGTGTCTGGTGTGTAGTTGATGCTGTATGCATGTGTTGAATACATACATGAATGGAAACTTGAAATGTTAATCATACTCCCATATTAGTTTAAAAGTTCTATATATAAGGATATTCACTGATGTTTTTTACACAGGTGAAAATGAACAACTAAAAAGAAATGCTGATCTTATGAAAGAAAAGTTAAAAACTCATGAACAGGTGAGTTTGTGTGTCTTCATATTCAATCAGATCCCTGTGGAGCATTGTCTTCCCAAATTAGAAAAAATAAAGGAGGAAAATTTTTGCCTCTTTTCTCTTCTAAAATGTCAGGTCATAGAATATTGCTTTATCTAGAATACTATGAATTTTCAGAGGGATGGGAATTACAGAGAAAATGCCATGATCCAAGGTTCTGAACTTATTAATCGCTGTCCAAAGCAAACTAAAGAGCACCTCAATCCAATGAAAATGTTCTAGTACAAAACCTCCAGGCACATCCAAAACATATGGAGAACCACCCCCTAGAAACAAACTTAGGAGTTATTTAACGGCCATATTTATGGAATATGTTAAGAATTATTAAGTTTTATAAGAACAAAAATATAACCAGAAGCTGTCCCTTGGAATTTAAAGTTCCCAGAAAGCAAATGAAAAGAAGGCAACCAAGAATAACTTGTTGGAACTTTGTCCTCTTAAAAAGAAGAAAGGATTGGACTCCTTGGGGCTGGCACAGGCTAAACTAGGGGAGAAGAACCTAATTAGATACAGCCTGGCCCCAGCCCAGACATTTAGGATAGCCTTATGCCTCAAGGCTGCAGTGAAAATCCTGGGTCTTACCAAATTAATGGAAACATTTCAGGTGGCAAAGTCAATCGGGAAAAGATACATAGATTTTTCTCTTGTGGTTTCCCAGGGCAGCAACTGCTTAATGCAACCGTCTGAGTCAGAAGTTTATGAAAGGCACTCTATAGTTGCCCACCTAGAAATCTAGATACAAACATAGGAAAAATAGCAGTTTATGAGATTCACCCCTTTAGTCACCTGCCCAGCTTTAATCAAAGGCAATGCTTGGATATGTTCAGCCATTCCTGCAAGTTGCCTGGCAAAAAAATGTAGCCCAATTAGGGCTCCTGACTATATCCCCTTGAATTTTTGATAATCTAGAGGAGCTATTCACTGGGTCTAGGCTAAGAACCTCTGACCTAATTCTTATTTGCACTCTCATTCATTCAAAAAATATATATCAAGGGATATACACTAGGAGTTAGGAATACAACAGTGAGGAAAAACAAAGTCCCTGCTTTTATGGTGTTTAGAGATTTTTCTGGGCCTCTTGCCTTGATCGTTGTCTCTTTTTTACTATCCCACCTCACTTTTATTCTTCCTGCTTTCCTTTTCTCCTGCCTGTGAGTGGTTTCTCTATGTAGAAACATACCTTTGGGAAAATTGTAAATTTTGTCTTTGGAGGATTTCTCTCTCAACACCTCTCTCAATGCCACTCTCCGTATTAGCATAATAAATCACTTCTATGCTTCAACAACCTAAGAAACTAACCTCAGGAGGCTGTTGAGCACTTCTCAAACCCCAAATTCATCCTTCTTTAGCCTCCCCATAAAACTAACCCTTACCATAGGTAATGCTTAACCTCATTCTGGGAATTAGGAATGTTTATATAATTTTCAGGAACAGAAATTCAGCCCACATTCAAAGGGATTCATCCTACATTAGGGTAAGCTCACAGACCATCAACCAGTGCCTAAAGTTGGCTTTAAAATATAGTTTTAGCGCTTTTTTGACATATTTTAATGCTGTCATGGCATTTATTCATACAATTAAACAAAATATTTTGAGCATCTATGATATGCTCTGAATATAGTGATGAGAATTCAGAGGCAAAGATAAAAAAATCATTGTCTCTAGGGCTTCTCTGGTGGCGCAGTGGTTGAGAGTCCGCCTGCCGTTGCAGGAGACACAGGTTTGTGCCCTGGTCTGGGAAGATCCCACATGCCGCGGAGCGACTGGGCCCGTGAGCCGTGGCTGCTGAGCCTGCGCGTCTGGGGCCTGTGCTCCACAACGGGAGAGGCCACAACAGTGAGAGGCCCGCGTACCGAAAAAAAAAAAAAAAATCATTGTCTCTAGATGGTCTGTATCTACTTGGACCAGAAATTGGTCCTTCTCAAAGCTGAGCATTCAAACAATGAACAATATCTTTCCTCTCTAGATATGATTATATACCAAAAATTAACATAAACTTTGAAAATTTCATCTTTCTAATTAATCAAAAGTTGTCTACACATACTCAAATTGAAGGATGAATGTATATTTTAATCTTTAGGAATATAAGAATAGTATTGCCAAACTTATGAGTGAAATGAAAATCAAAGAGGAGGGACATAAGACAGAAATAACAAAACTTTATCAAGATATGCAGAAAAAAGGTAAGTTTTTAAATTTACTGAATTCTAAGATACCATAAAACAATTTACACAGATATATAAACTTTTTTCAGTAATTGCCAGTATTCTGAATAAACATTGCCTTGACACATTTGAATTTAGTTTTTGTTCCTTTATATATATTTATGTGATATAAATTATAACACTTAGAAATTGGACTCATGGAGTTTGCACTTAACATTATTTAATGTGAAATAGTTAATATCATTGTAAAATTAATATAAAATGTATAGTTAACTTTGATATCTATATACTCAGCATATTGAATATAATTTCACTAATGAAATATTCTTCCTTCAGCAAAGTCTCATGAAATTATGTTGAGAGTTAACTGGTTTCATAAAGGTATTAAAAACTTTCTTAATGAGCCTGGATGCACACCATATACAAAAATTAACTTGGAATGGGTGATAAGTCTGAATATAAACCTACATCTATAAGACAAGTAGAAGCAAGCATAGAACATAATCTTTGTGACCCTGAGTTAGCCACAATTCCTTAGAAAGAAACAAAAAGTACAAAAAATAAAGGAAAAAAGTTCTAAATTGAACTTCTTCAAAACTACTAACTTCTGTCCTTCAACACTGTTAAGAAAATCAAAAGACAGGCCACAGACAGGGAGATAATACTTACAAATGCATAGCTGATAAATGACTTATGTCCAAAATCTATGAAGAACTCTTATAACTCAATAAGAAGTCAAACAACCCAGTAAGGAAATGGGAAAAATATTTGGACACTTCCCCAGAGAAATACGGATGAAAAGTAAGCACATGAAAACACGTTCAACATAATTGGTTAGTAGGGAAATGCAAATTAAAACCACAATGAGATACCACATTGCACCTTTTAGAACTGCTAAAATCTTCTATAAAACTATCAATACCAAGTGTTGGTGAGGATGTGGAGCTATTGGAACCCTCATACATTACTAGTGGGACTACAGAATTATAGTCATTTTAGAAAAGAGTTTTGCAGTTTCTTTGGGTTCTCTGAGAAGCAGATACCTAGACAGAATTAGACATTCAAGAGGTTTGTTAAGGCAAACATTTGTGAGGGTAGATAGGGAGGGAACTGGGGGAGACGGGGTTAGCCGTGGGTTTATGATACAGGTCTAACCTCTGTGAACAAGAAAGGAAGGTGTGTTGGGCAGAAGTCTTAGACGGTGACACACTTATAAGAAAGTTTCAGCAAAGTTGGGCCAAATTTGCCCATCAACCAAGTTCTGCAACTCTCAGGAACAAGTCTACCTGAGTGTCCCTGCCAAGTTCAGTCACTGGCTAGGAGCAGCTCTTGGGAATCGTGACCTCAGCATAAACATAGTCCCTGAAGTTGGAGATCTGAAAGATGCATTTTCATGGCCACAGCTGTCCCCTCCTTATACAACACATACCTACTTCTCCATAGGAGTTCAGGTAGCAGGTTCTCCATGGTTCTTGTGGATGTTTCTTCCTCAGGAGAAACCTAGAAGAGGGATTGTTGAAATGTTCTTCCTCCTAGGGACCTAACCGTGTCTTTTCAGCCAGCGGGTTCTAGACCAAAAACGTGGTTCAGACTGGGGAACCGAGCAAAGGATAATAATTTTTAACTGGGGCATGTACCCTCAGCCTCCTGTTCCTCCATTTGGATTCTTTTGTTATGGGTGTTAAGCAGCTTAGCTGCTCATCTATTAACTAACTCTACAACCCTCGAAAATCAAGCCCCTTTGGCTGCTCTCTGACCTTTCTGCTGCTCATTATGATAATTGTGGCCTCCTGGTTTTTGGCAGTTAAGCACCATCATCTGGCTTCTACAACTTGGTGGGGGAGGGGGGACACCATCCACATAGATATTAATGAGCCCAACTTTATACCCACCTCTTCTGTCAGCCCGAGCTTGCAGATGAGAGCGACCATTGAACTTCTTGGTGGTGCTGGTTTTTCTCTCACCAGCACATTCCTTGTGGTCTTGGTTAATAGTGTGTCTTCTGGGCCCTCCTAAGGAACATGATCTTTTGCTGAGTTATCTTGCCTCACATAACATATCCACTCAAGCATGCCAACTTTCGAGAGCCTCCTTATGCCTTTCTCTACTTACTATCTGCTAGGGCATCTCAGGTATTCCCACTTCACTCAGCTTTGGCCAGGGCTTTCTCTAGAGGTCTAAGGCTACTCTAACAGAGTTTGTCCCATATCCTAGGTCCTTGCTAGGGTGTTATGTCCCCTGTCCCTAAAGAGTATCTTCAAGTCAATGAATTCTTGCTTACCTAGTCTTACTTTTAGTCTTCTTCTATCCAGCACCCTCAAAGTCCGTTCTCAAGGGTATTCACATGGCTCTTTCCAATACAACCTAGCTAATTCTTGCGGCTCTCTGGGGTATAATCACTTTCCCCCCTTATCAGCCCCAGCACTCCCCCAACCAGGTTATATTGCGCTTTAACCCTAGTTATTGGCCTAGCAGCCAAAAGAGGAGGGAAGGGCATCTTCTGAGAGGAGCCTCTGCAGCATCTTTCATCAGCTAGGTTAGTGTTAGTTCTTAATAGGAAAAAGTAGGTCTGCAATTTCTGAGCATTTAGGGGAGCATGCCAGCATCCTCACAGGTGTTTATCCAGATGTTCCTGTCCTATTTTTCAGGATCTTAGGTGTTCCCAACTAGGACCCTGATTTAGCATAGCAGACCTGTTTTGGCTGAACATTTCAACATCTCTGGAGTTCTGCAACTTTAATGATCAGATTTTCTGTTGCTCAGCTCTACCTGCTCTTCCACTAGAGTTGGTGAGAGCCTGTTTGTAAGCTACCAAAGAGTCCCTCTGGCTCTCACACCTATTCTTTTTGTTTTGTTTTGTTTTCCTTTTCTCTTTTTTTTTTTGAATTTTATTTTTTTTATACAGCAGGTTCTTATTAGTTACCTATTTTATACATGTTAGTGTATATATGTCAATCCCAATCTCCCAATTCATCCCACCACCACCATCCTACCCCCTTGGTGTCCATACGTTTGTTCTTTACATGTGCCTCTACTTCTGCCTTGCAAACCCATTCATCTGTACCATTTTTCTAGATTCCACATATATGCATTAATATACTATATTTGTTTTTCTTTCTTTTTTTTTTTTTTTTGCGGTACGCGGGCCTCTCACTGTTGTGGCCTCTCCCGTTGCGGAGCACAGGCTCTGGACGTCCAGGCTCAGCGGCCATGGCTCACGGGCCCAGCCGCTCCGCGGCATACGGGATCTTCCCGGACCGGGGCATGAACCCATGTCCCCTGCATCAGCAGGCGGACTCTCAACCACTGCACCACCGAGGAAGCCCTGTTTTTCTCTTTCTGACTTACTTTACTCTTTATGACAGTCTCTAGGTCCATCCACGTCTCTGCAAATGCCCCAATTTCATTCCTTTTTATGGCCGAGTAATATACCATTGTATATATGTACCACATCTTCTTTATCCATTTGTCTGTCAGTGGGCATTTAGGTTGCTTCCATGACCTGGCTATTGTAAATAGTGCTGCAGTGAACATTGGGGTGCATGTGTCTTTTTGAATTATGGTTTTCTCTGGGTATATGCCCAGTAGTGGGATTGCTGGGTCATATGGTAGTTCTACTTTTAGTTTTTTAAGGAACCTCCATACTGTTCTCCATAGTGGCTGTATCAGTTTACATTCCCACCAACAGTGCAAGAGGGTTCCCTTTTCTCCACACCCTCTCCAGCATTTGTTGTTTGTAGATTTTCCGATGATGCTCATTCTAACCAGTGTGAGGTGATACCTCATTGTAGTTATGATTTGCGTTTCTCTAATAATTAGCCACACCTATTCTTTAAATCTTTACATTCTTGTTAACAGCTGTTTCTCATTATCCCTCAGTAGGATGTCAATTTAATTTAGCAGTAACTCTCCAACTCTACTGTCTTTGTGGGCATCGTTTCCCTCTATCTTTCAAATGCCTGAACTATTACACCTGCAAGGCATTCACGTCCACCAGGACATTTCCCCCAGATTACTTGTGGTAAAATCTTCAGCAATCAGACCCCCACTGTGTACTAGGAACTACCAGTACTCCATATACCACTAATGATGGCTTCCTCATTTCTTACAAAGCAGTAAGTGCCCCATCATACCTGTTTTCTTGTGCTAGCTCAGGTCCTCCAAGGAGCTGACAAGATGGGAGTAGACAGTCAAAGAAATTTATTGGACAAAATGCTTATGAAAGGAAATGGTGAGGGAGCCAGAGAAAGCTGATGTAGTTCTAGAGTCATCGTGTAATTTGAGGCCTTCTATAACTAGGAACCCAGGATTTGTGTCCCTCTTTAACCATTAAATCTCCTATTTATTCTCTAGGCATTTAGAGAATATTATTCTCTAGATATTTAAGAGCACAAATTATTCATTCAAAAGCATTCAATGGGCAACCTTTGCATCGCAAGCATTTTTCAGGGGCTTGTTAAAAATATATAAAAGCTACCCTGCATGTAAACAGTTTCTAAAATACATGTTTTTATTAATAAATTCCACTTTCTTGTAGATTGTTTAAAATTCAAAAAGAATCTTTTAAGATTTTTTAAATGTTAAGATGAATTTATGTTTTTCTGCAGTTGAATTAAGTGAAGAAAAGAATAAAGAACTGATAGAGAAAAAGGAGGTGGAAATCTCAGAGTTAAATGCAAAGTTAAGAACTCAAGAAAAGGAAAAACAAAGTGAAATAATCAAACTACAGCTAGAGGTAAGTGTTTAAGGTGCTGCTAGATTTGAGGATGCATCCCTTAGTCTAGGCCATACTTTGGTTATTTGTCATCAGAGTGAGATAAATTTCAGGATTAGAAACAACTCTGTGAGAGGGCTTCACACATGCTAATTCTTCATGCATCACACGCAATGCTTAAACCTGGTACAGTACAACTGTTAGCTACACTGCCTTTCAGCACTTGGCCTCAAGGTGGGACTCTTCAGTCATTCAAAAGGTCCTGGTTTCCAGAGAGGATATTTTCCTCTGACAGCAGAGACAGATAACTCATATTACCTGCATTTTACAGCTGAGTCTATGCACCCTTTTTAGGACTACCATTCCAGCTGTGGGGAGAGTGTTTCTAATCCTTAACATTACTCTCTCCTCAGCAGAAATTGTGGAACCCTGGTGAACTAACTGGAAATTTCTTTTTCTTTATTTAAAATAAAAAGAGACTAATTTGTTCCCAATAAATATGTAGAAATATAGAGGCAGACAAACCAGATTTTTTTAAAGGGACTTTAAATAGGGCATCTCAAAGGCCGAGGTTCTGGTTCTTGGGTCAAAAGCCTTCTCAGTTGGTTGTTTAATCAGATGTCAGAATCTCAAAGACATTGATATTTTGACAATATATTTGCCCTTTACATTTTTGTCTAGATCCTTCTAATCTCCCTTTCCATCATTCTTCCCTCAGCTTGACTCCCACTTTACCTTACGTTGTTAGAATTCACCTACTTAGTTAAGATAACCTAGTTTTCATGTTCTTTAAAGTTTGGTATCCTGAGGTGCTTGGTGAGATACGGTGTTGAAGATTCTATAATTATTGAGCAAAAGGGGACTGATGTTGACTTTCGAGGCTCTTTGATGCTGTTCCTGCCTTCTGGTCAAGTGTACCCACAAACCACAGAGAAGGATGGATGGCCATCTGATATACAATAGACTGTGTTTCAAGATTGGCCATCGACTTCTAATCCACTGATTGGGAATGTGCATTTTGTTTGCCATCCTGGCCCTGTCACTGGTCTAGCCCAAGTTTGTTTGATATACAGAACTCTTTGCTATTTATCTTCATTATAACTATAATCCATTTCTCTCCCCAAACCAGAACACAATCTCACAGTTTATTCTTAGTTCACAGTGAGGCTACATTAAATTCAACCTGAAGGAAAAATTCTAATGGAAGATTTTGCAAAAAATATGACTGTAACAATGGCCCATGAGAATTTTTTTAACCCAATTCACTTTAATGCCAAACCAGCAAGTGTTCAAACTAAATCAATAAAATCATATCCAAATTCTACTATTTAGCCTCAAAGTTTCTGCAGAAGGGTATATGTTTTTCTCCCATGACTGTTGATTATACTACATATTCTTTACAAAGTACACTCATAGTAACATGAAAATATTTTTATCTATCTTTAAGTTAACTAGATTCTCAACCCTAATTAACTAGATTCTTAATCCTCCATGATAGAATCAACTGATGTCTTGAGAAAAAAATGATGCTGACCCCACCCCAGAATTTCTAAGGTAGTGTCCAGGTATTTGGTTCTTTAAAAAATCTCCCCAGGTAATTTTAAAATGCAGCCAGGGTTAATCTTGTTTGGGTATTCCTTGTTCTTTCTTAAAGACTTTTCTATCTTCTGTTATACAGTGAATACACTTGAATTACAGATTATATGTCTACGGATACAATGGATTATACTTATATTTATAGAAACATTTGTTTCTAATTGTTTAACTAGAATGTTCTCAACTTTCTTCTTAAACTTGATTCAGTTTGATGCCAAACTAGCAAGAGTTCAAACTAAATCAAAATCATATCCAGATTCTACTGTTTTGCCACACAGTATCTACAGAAGGGTATGTGAGTTTTTCTTACACAGCTGTTGCTTAAAAAAATTAATTCTCTTAGTGTGTTTTCATAAAGGTTATATTTACTAACAACATACTTAACAGTTTTCCTTAAAATATATCACACAATAAAGATACTAGATTTTTAATAATCTTCATAAGTCTCTTTCAATTTAAACTAGTAAATCTTAGTAGTAAATTAAAACATTAGAGAAGTCCTCTGACTCTTTGGACCATCTAAGGAATTCCATAATGTACTATGAACTAAGGCTGACTCACTATTCTGAAGTTATTTAGGTACTCAGATAGCAGATTACTTCTTGTTCAACTCCTTTATTTATGGTTTATAATTTCAAGCTATATAGGGAGAAGGGAACAAACTAAAACAAATGGTGCTAATGTGTGTTTTTGTATCCTTGTACCAGTTTTACCCCATTAAATTCCACAAAAGCAAAGTTATAGACCTTTCAAAATATGGTATCTTTTTTAATACCTACTTCTACTTAAACCAGAAGCATAGTTTTTGCTGTTGTTTTGTTGTTCCTTGTACTTAATCTTATTTTTTATGAACTGCAATAACAAAATTTTTCTGCTCTATTTAGAAGCTTCAGCACCTTCAAGAAGAAAAAAACAAGGAGATTGCAGTTCTTCGTAATACCATTCACGATTTAGAGCAACGCCTCTCTGTTAGCAAAGATTCTCAATTTAAACTTGCCGGCAAAGATTCTTACTTTAAGCGTAGACGGTTTTGAGTATGGAAGTAAATTCATTAGTTGCTATTTAATTTCTTTAAAGCAATTGAAAATTCACTTCTATTGTCAATATAACACACTACCTAAGTAATTACAATGAAAACAAAAAGACAGCTTTAAACTTCATTGAGTTTATTTAAACAAATGCACACTTTTGCCAATCTTGTTCTGCATTCTTGCTTAATAGTATTAACCATAAAAAAGTTCAGGTTTATAGGACTTAGTTTACCTATTGAACCATCATTGACTATGGAAATACTTTCTAAGCAATCAAGAGATAGACAACATTCTTTTATCATTTCCCATCTATCTTTCAAGACTGTCAATCTTAAATTTTAAAGAGTACGATACAATGCTAGACAAAGAAAGCAAGATATAAAGACTTCATTCATATGTGATAGTAAAAATCAAGATATGAGTCTTGGATGTAAAAAAAAGTATAAATGGATATCTAAATGGATATCTAAAATGTAATCATAGCAAAATGTATGAGTATTTCTGGATCTGAAAAGACAGAAATCACTTCTTTCTTTAAAGGTTTAATTTGTTAAAAACGTAAGATTAAAAAGACAAAGATAATATTGTTTGAGAAATAAGTAAAGAAAAAAAGGGAAAACATGTCTTTGTTGTTCTTCCTCCATTCTAAGTTGCTGACTATCCAACAGAAACCCCTAGGTCGTAGTTTATGTTTCTGTTCTCATTAATGCAAGTAGAATGCTGGAGAAACAAAAAGAAAAACATATTAACCAAGTGCTGCAACCACCTTTCAGTTGCCCTGTAATAAAAATATGGTTGGGGGTAAAAATTTTTTGACTTAAATTTTAAAATGTGGAAGCCAATTTCTTCATGTTTACACAAATCCAATTCCTATTTTTGGATCACTATTAATTAGGTAGCTTATAAAAATGCTGGAAATGTAATTGTCTAGACTGACTTAGGCAGTATATCCGATTTTAAATATTTAATTTGAAGGTCATTTTCACATTTCTGCCTTCTTTTTTCAGCTTCATTTGGTGCTGGCTTCTGTAGGGTTGGGCTGCTGACTTGCCTGGCAGGCAGCTGGAGGCAAACGTCACTGTCAAGATTCAGTGACGTGCTCCTCTGCCAGAAGGCCCTGTCAGCTACATAGAGAGGGGAGGTTTTCTTTACACTGTCAGGTGACTGCAGACCCTGTTTTTTCAAATATCAGATGTCGGCAGTGTCAGCATCAGCTACTCAGAGCTGATTCTGAATCTTTGGGAAATTTTCAGAGTAACTGATTTATGCATCCACTTCGTCAGAGCTTCTTTTGTGGAAGAGAAATTTGTAATGTATCTCAGTTCTCTGAGTGACCCTGTCTTTGGTGACCCCTGTGCCTATGGTGGTGATGAAGACCTGAAGGAGGGGGATGCTCAGGGTTATCTGGTGCTTCTGGTTTTGGATACTCTGAAAGATGACCGTTCTCAAGATGGTGATGATGATGGTGATGGTGATGGTGATGGTGATGGGGCTGTGGAGCCTCGGTGGTTTTTTCCGCAGTAGCCAAAGATACATCTTTACAGAAGCCTTCATCTTCCAGTGTCTGGAATAAATTTATAAATCACTTACCAACAAATTTAT